CAGAGCTACCTTTAAGATGCACATCCCACTAGAAACCGATCATTGTAGTTAAGTGGATTAATAATAATACATTAAATACAAACTTATCACATACGTACGGAATTTCTGCATACAGTATGGAAACCCCTTAATCTAAGGACTAAAAGTAATATTATCGCTTTTTTAATATACTGAGAAACTTTTGCAAGGACGTTCAGTACAGGCCAGACTTGTTCAAGTAACCTAAACAAATGCTGATTATTGATAGTTTTCGAGGCGCTTTGCTTTCAGCAATAAAACGATAATATCTTGGAGACGCTCTCAGCAGAATAATTAGTCAAACGAAATTCTCCAATCCGCGTTGTTCCCTTAACCCGAACTGCTCCTGTGGTCTACTAAACAATATTTATACAAGAATCATTGTAGAGCTGAAAATAAAACAAGAAACAACGAAAGATGAAACGATTAATCCCGGGCATGGCCAATAATGGCCAAAATGTACATGAAGATGTTGACAATATCCAAATACAGATTCAAAGCGGCAAAGACGTATTCTTCGGGAGAAATGCTGTACTTGTGCTTGCCGCCCATCATCAGCTGAGTGTCGTAGACCAAGTAGATGGAAAAGATCAGAGCCCCTAGGGAGGCATACACCAGTTGCACGATCTTGTTGTGCACAAACATTGCCACAATACCAAACACCAACAGAATGATGACGGCAACCAACAGAACCCCACCCATCATGGTAAAATCGTACTTCGTTTGAAAGGCAAACAGAGTCAAAGCCAAACAAACCGCCGCAGTTATACCAACAGCCATCAGCACAGCATCCTGCTTGTAAGTGCTGGCACTGACGCCCAATAAAAACCCTTCCGCTATGGTGAATATAAACAGCATCACGTAGTTAATAGGAGCCTTTCTTCTGACCTCTCCACAACATGCCAATGTGATCATTGCAACGATCATCACCACAAGAGCCACAATGAACAAGCTGGGCGTGTTGTGGACGAAGGCTTTGGTTTTCGGTTCGTAGCACAACAGCGCGATGAAGCCCATGGTGATGGCGAGCTGAACCATCAGAATAGAGTAGACTTTTCGAATAAATCCACGTCTGATCGATTGGTCTGAGAAGTCGAAGCCTTTGACTTCGGGATCTTCAGCATCGTAGCCTCCATATCCTGGAAAATCAACCAAACGGTTTCAGCAAAGGCATTGAGCTGGTTTGGATCAGAAGCTACATGCACTGTGAGAGAGCAACATGGTGAATCAGGAGCTTCAAATTGTGAAATAGTTTCAATTCTTTCAGAGGCGGCTAGTGAAGGGAATAATCGAAATAATAAATGTTTCAGAAATTTTTTTGTGCAAATCGAGTCTAGCGATCGAATCGAAAACTGAAGATGCGCATTGAGAGAGCATCAGTTTATGCGATAGACAATAACTCCAATTTTTAAAATATAGATCTGGTTTTTTTCTCGTTCCTTTAAATGTATATTTTTCCTTGATTTCATTTGTGCATTTGCCGACGTTTGGGGTAAAAATATCATCAAGCTTTATTATCTAAACAATAAAAATTCAATTTTTTCCCATCAGCACTTGACTGTAAATAGATCTTTAGCATTTTTGCAAAACGCCTTACAAGAACATTTAGATGATTTTCCCCTTAATGTGTTACGAAAATGTAAGTGTTTCCCAACTAGTTGTAAACCTATTGCTCGATCCACCTCGAATGCCAGATATTACACCCATGGATTTTTCGGTTTGCGGTTTTATTAAATATCAGGCAGGTTTATCAAACACCATAAGCAGATTTAGACCATCCAATTTTTAAAATTCGAGCTTCCTGTGCGAAACTGACACACTTTTTAGCTAAATTTACAAAAAGTTATAAAAAACCATCGACTTACGATTAATTTGAACAAATAAAAAAAATAGGTCCGAATCAAAAAATGGGAGTTAGTGTCGATATCCCATAAACAATAAGCGCTATTTTGTTAAATTTAATAACAATAAGCGCTATTTTGTTAAATTTAATAAATTACGTACTTACTACCAAACCTTTGCTAGGAGAAAAAGCTACATTTTCCCTCATCAACTTACCCTATTTCGTGGTCCAAAATATTACTTAAAACTTATTAAAAATCTTCATGCCATTTGGACATTCAACTATCTTCATTTGATATGTTTTTGAATGAAACTTCGAGAGCTTGATGACCTTACTTGAGCTTAATGATGTTATCAAATAGCAGAATATTACGCTAGATCAGCATGGTGTTTGATGCCTTTGTTTAGTAGATGCCGAGCTGGTTATTCAAAACATCACTCTCAACAACACAATGAAGATTAGATATAGAAAATTGGTGTTAAATGACCATATAGGGGCTGGCAACAACCTAAACAACAGCTGTCCTTAATCACTCTTAATCCCCAAAGGATTAATTGAGCTGAAAAAGCTTCTACCACTACTAGCATCAACACCAATCTCCAACTAATGCGCAAAAAGAGCCCATCCCCTTGAAGCAAACTCACACTCTTCAGCATTGTGAAAAAGCATCTGTTACAAACGTGGAAAACCCACCCCCTCAAATCGTTCAAAGCATGCACTTTCAAGCTGAAACTATTACTTGAAATAAAACAAGACGAACCATCATGTGCGTTGTTAGAATTAAACGGAAATGCTTCACCTTGGTTGGCCCCCCCATACGGATCCCCATAGGGAGGAGGCTGGAAACCCGGTTGGGGCGCACTTGGGTAACCGCCTGGTTGGGGGTAGCCGCCCTGAGGATATCCTTGCGGAGGAGGCGGATAGACGCCTGGTTGTGGGCCATAGCCGGGCTGTTGTTGCCCTGCATACGGTCCTGGAAGACATAGCAAAAGCCTAAAATACGCCCGTTTATCCCAATGCTTATTGGAATCGATTAGGCAAATGGAGATGATGGGATGGGGGTGGGTCAGGAAAATAAAAGTAACTCCTTTCAGGCACCAGGAGGCCTTTTATGCATACATTTATGTAAACCTTCAAATTGGAGGTAAAAGATGCTGATGAACAGTACGAGTCTTGTTTTAGAATAGTTATATATTACATTCCAGAGTAGGTAGATAAGTCGATTGTGCGATATCGGAAATGTAATTTGTCACTAATGAGACTTGTATGATTAGGTAGGATTCCTCCTTATCCTTACAGATTCGCATCGAGGCGTCATCATCAATAAATAAACCCGAAATTTAGATATTTTAAGTTAAGTTTCTTGCAGATGCACAAGCATCATTTATGTCATTCACGAAAACAAGCTCTGATAATATTCCTACTTTTGGGACTATTTGCTACGCAAATAGACGAAACCTTTCACTGATGAAGGTCGGGATTTGGAGAATTTTTGCAAAAATCTCCATGTTTTAGCAGGACAGTAATGCAGACAAGCAAAATTGCAGTTGAAGCACATACGCAAAGCATATAAAGTAGATTGTCAGAAAAACTAGATACAATCCACCACTAATTACCCTCTAACTACTAAACCCATAGTATTAAAAAATCTTAATATTTTTTAAATGAACCAACGTGTTCTGCACAAACTTTTTCAATCGTTTACGCGCCCTCCAACTATTCGCTTTGTGTTTGTTTGCCTAAAATCGATTAACGCAATTTTCTTAAATAAATGGCTCGCCAAAGTCAGCTAATTTCTAGGCTGAAAGAATGTTGCTAGTCTAGTGACTAATTGGATGAAAGGCCCTGTTGATGAGCTGACAACAGATGGAAGCTCTTAGCGTGATTAAATGTTTCCATTACGTCTATGAGGAAGAGGCATGAACAGGCATGAGCCCTTCTTTGAAAGATTCGAACTTTACCATTCGGTTAGCTTTAGCTTTGAGCGAAGTTAAGAATGATTACTGTCCACCTCGTCTACAGATATTCTTAAATGTAGGGCTCATTTGCAATTCTAAAATACACACGCGTCTTCAGAACAAACGTATTAAAACCTTGGGCTTCTAATCGCTAAACTGTTGTCGTTAAAAGACAATCGATTATTTTCTATAGAAATCTCAGACTTTGATAGCAAAAAACCATCAAGTTTAAACGAGAATGTTATTGCAATGAGTCAGGCAATTTTGATTCGCCTATTGAATTCTCTGAGAAGCTATTTTTACTCTATGAACTGATTAATGCGAATAATCCCCCAAGTAAGTACCCACGAATGTACAGGTGTAAAAGTGCAAAATAGCAAGTATTACCTTGGTTGTAGTTATAGGCCATCCTCAATGTTCAGCAGCCTGAAACAATACAGTATAAGCAAATAAAGGCAAACTTTATCACATTAATTACTCGATAATTTGAACAGATAAACCGCAAAGCTCCAAGTGAGTATTTGAAGGGATTTATACTGGGTGATATTTTGAATTTATACCTACAACCCTGAGATTTTGCATAGAAAATATCGACCAAAGTTTTATATATGGGTAAGGTAAACATGTAAACGGTGTCTTTAAACGGTTCTACTATATCCATTGCATTATATGCAGGCAGTGGCAGTAGAAAAACATTACTTTCGACTAATTATAGAACAACACTCTCAATATATGTTTGTATTGTTGTGCAGGTGCAGTAATTCATACGTTTATCAGGCAACTTACTTGCAAAATATCCTGCGATAAATAATGAGAAAAACGACTGTTTATCGTTAAATAATGCACTTTACTAAAAGTATTTATCTAGAACACTTTTCCTGAAGCACTGGAATTTCCTGGAAATCCCTGTCTATTAACGTCTGTCAATGTCTACGCAGATGAATGAATCATCTTTTATAAATACGTTCCGTTATTAATTAGTAGGCGCCATCTTTTGACTGCCAATAAATTTTGGATTTTTAAAATTCCTAGAGAAACAGATTATAATTGAAAATACCCGAATTTACTTTAGAAAGTCCAGCTATAATTGAGGGATTTTACTGCAAAACTCTTCATGGGCAATTAAAATTTATAAATTTAGGGTATTCACACATATCACCGCCAAATTGGTGAACGTACCCCTCGGTGTTCAGATTCGACAAATTGTTGTCAGAATTTCGGAGTTTACCTAAACTACATATTTGTTTACTGCATTAATTGTTTGTTTTATGCGGAAAAATGTTTAGTACGGTCTTAAATAGTAATAAGTGCCCCGATCTGTGAACTGCCACTCTTCACGTGTATTTACCGCCTTATTAAATCTTCAATTTACAATTGACCCGGAAGCAGGAACTGGAGTAAGTTTATTGTTCTTTTCCTCAATTAAAAATCAAATGTTCTTTAACTTTAAAAGTGTTTTCATACGCATTGGCTCACCCCCTTTTCCATTGACCCTGAATTTTATTGATTTGGCCAAAGTTTGGCTTTTTGTTTTTGTTTTGTTTGTCACATAGTCAATAAAGAAATTCCATAAAACCAATCTCAGTTACGCTGCGGAGCACAAGCCTCTTTACTGATCTTTCCAGATGGACACCAAAACAGCCCTTTTGTTGTTAAGAAAGTGAAAATGCCCAAGTTAAACACCCCCATTCAGTTTTTCCCAACTGTGCGGACATTTTCTAGTCTATACTGCCCCTTGATTATCTCCTTGATTCGGTTATCTATGAAATTAGAAAAATGATCGTCGTTTTGTGCAAGGGTGGCGCAAGATTATTGCAAAATTTCGTGTTTTCCGTCCCGTTTTGCATGTTTCTCGGAAGCAAAA